CTTTATCAAATAGGAACGTCTTAAGCCTACTCTTAAATGTGGAGAGGGTGTCTGCCTCCAGAACTACACACTGTTAGTCTAACTTAACACATTATTGCAAGCAAAGGTTCTTGTGACTAGTCTAAGCAGCAATTTGATTTTGCAGTCATGCTGCCACAATGCCATCAGTTTAAATCCTAAAGATGTATAGCCTACCTCTATGGTGCAGAGTTATTAGAGTTTTGTATTTTCATTAGTATTTTTTTTATTTTTTTCCTTTTCAATTCAGTTTAGTTTCAGTTTAGTTCCCAGAGTGTGTCTGCTCGCTACAGTTTTTTTTTATTGTTTAGAAAATGATAAATTTAATTGTTTTGAATGAAATTTAAGATCTGAATCTGAAGTTAAGATGAAGTATACCAATTGTGATTTTACTAATGACTACTTTTTATGTCCCAGAACACTGTACAGGTGATAGGACAGGTAAGTAATTTAAACAGGAGACATTGTACTATTGTGTTAATTACAGCAGACACTGTGTTTAAACACTGAATCATTGAAATCAATCATTTTGGCATGGGTTCAACAGCAATGAAAACATAATTTTATGTTGATATAAAAACAGCACTAGCCAACTAAGTGTGTGTTTCCTGTCATATGGCTGGCCTTCATTCTGGTGCAACTAAGAGGCAGCTACAATGTCTACAAAATGTACCACATCCTTAATATACTTGAAAATGTTACAATCAATTAAATACATTTAACCCCAAAAGTTAAGCATGTTTTTATTGTATCATGTTCATTTTTACACATTGATCTGGTTCATATCTGGTTAAAGCAAGTATAAAATATAGGCAATGTGCTTCAGATACGTACAAGTACAATAATGAAGAGGGCCTTCATTACACATGGGATGGACTTTAGAGGACCAAATACAATATTTCAGATTTATTTAAGTTCTAGGACATCCAACACTTGATTTTAAAGCATCAGCTCATTATAAGACCCGTTTTCTTATCTAGAGAACTTAACACTCACAAATAACATTTCTTTCTTTAGCTTTGAGGATGTTGTCCAATATATGTGCTCATAGTTCTTCATTATGTGATACCATAGCCTGTGTCCAGATTTGTTTAGGGAATGAGTCAGATTGCCAAATCCAGATAATCCACATAATCAGTTTAGACACCCCCAGCCTGAGTTTAAGACACCTGTGGATTACATCCTTTGCAGCTGCACTTGCCACACTTTGCAAAGAGACACTTTTAACAAATTGAGCCTGATTAATCAGGAAATTTGGCAGTTGACATACCAGATGGAGGACCAGGAAGAAACCACAATTGGAAATGGCAAGGAGTGCCTGACACAGAAGGAGGAAAGCGAAGAGGAGCAAGAAGAGGGAGGGGAGAAAGTTGAAGAGATGGTGGTCGACGGAGGCATGGAGGATTGGAATGGATTTATTTCAGGGGGCACGGTATTGGGCGAAACACAGCAAGGGGAGGTAGTGGCAGAATGGAGACCTGGTGAACCAGTGACCCCGCAGCACGTCTTATGGCTGAACAGTTACACTGAGGGTGAGTCAGCTTTTTACAACCAGTTGATGTTATTTGAAACATCTTGGTGAAATACAGAGCAGAGGGGAAGAAAGCAAGGAAAAGTTGTATGTGCATGTGTGTATACATGTATATATGATACAATGTAAGTATATGTCTTATTGTGTCACTACAACTTCTTTGCATTCCCCATGAAGCTTCTACGTTTCATCATTCCTACTGTATTCATAATATGTGAGCTGATTTCTATGTCTGCCACCTCCCTCTCTCCCTGCCCTGTGCTTGCTTTCTCGACACTGGGGTAGCTCAGGATTTGTAAGAGATATGTTTTTGAACCACTCAAACTAGAGCACCTGTCATGATAGGCACAGCCACAGAACTGTGATGTATTTGGTTTAGCTCTATGACAAAGTTTTAATATTTTCACATTTTGGACATGACAGGCCTAACAGGCAGATTTTTGGCATCAGACTTTAAAAATTGTCTTGTTCGATGGGGGATTTTTTATTTTTACACCATATCCTACAGTGCAAGACCTTTCCAGAGATGTATTTGGTTTAGCTCTATGACAAAGTTTTAATATTTTCACATTTTGGACAGGCTCAGGTTCAGAGAGCACTTTGAGTGCTTCAAGAGTGTGTGTGTGTGTGTGATAATAAAAAGAGATTGTTATTCTTAATAAAGCATTGCACACCACTTTTGTCTAACTAAAATCCAACTATAACTTAGGATGCATTGTGTGACAGTAGATAACTTGGCTGAAAAAAGAGCACAATAGCACACTGCAGTCATTTTTAACCAGGTAAAAAAAATAAACGACTCTGAAACAGGGGAGCTGCAAGATGCAGAAACACAATGTTAAAATAGAAATTAATAGAAAACACAATGGAATACCCCTCATTGAAATATTTGCATGCAGAAACAACCTAGATTGGATTTATGGTCTTACGTTCACAATCAATAGCCTCTCTATCGAGGCCTACTTTTTTATTCATAATTTATTTATTAGTTACCTTATTGTCACTCTACCTTTGTCTCCGTTGATGTATTGGGAGGTTGTTTGTGTAGCCTTTTGCTGTGGCAGGATATAAATGATTTGATAGACTGTGTTAGTCATCCTGGCATAAAACCCTCCAGAAATCATAAAGATACAAAAAATCCTCTTGTAGGGGAATTCTTCCATAATCTGGCAGAGTTGCTAGTGCTCTAAAGAATTACAACCCAGTGGTGATGAATCAAATTCCTTTACTCATGCAGCATGGAGGGAAGACCACAGCATAGACGTTCCCTCCAGACTTCTAGAATGCTTTGCCTTATATACCCAGCATCATTAAACAGGACACAGCTGTTGTCCAATCTACATTCCTATGCTAACTTACACATGGGCAGTTTAGGTCTTTCACAATGTTCCTGTGACCTGACCCTGTGACTGTGTGTGACCCACTGCTGACCGGTCGTTTCCTACCATAAAATACAACCCCTACCATAAAACACAGGCCCCTAACCCATCTGTATACATTAACTCCCCCACCTAAAACATTCATCTACATTACAGTTTATGCAACGAGTATTTGATTAATTGATGATTAGTTGATCAACCGGGTTTTCTTATTTCGATGACTGGTGGATCAATTTAGTCATTTTAAAAAGCAAAAATGCCCCAAAGGTTATAACTTCTTCTCTGTTTTATATCATTGCTAATTCATTATGTTTGGGGTTTGGACTGTTGGTGAAGCTATCTTACTTTTCCCTGGGCGGTGGGAAATTGTATACACTATGTAAAGTAGCTTATATTATAAAGTATATTTACCAGGGGTAGAGGAGGCAATTTAGATCCTTTACTCCAGACATGTATACTCATTAGAAATAGTCTGCTTGGAACAATGATGTGTGTCCACTAAAAAAGTAAAATTTCCACATTAAATCCCTTAAAAAGGCATCTACTCCATCTACCTAAATACAAATATGCACATTTTGTTAATTTTCATTTGACACAATATGTCTCCTACTTCCCTGTAAAGTCCATTCTCAGTGTTTATGCACTGGCGGCCTCAAGCTTCTACATCACACTCGTTTGCTTCAAGTAAGTAAAAGTACATCGTTTCCATTTACACTTAGTCTCACAAATACACATTGTTTGTATCTTTGAGCTCAAACAAACATGATGAATGTTCATGATTACATTTTTGCAGACTTCATCTTCTTCACATTGTTTCCTCTCTTGGCGCAATACTTCCAGCTGTGGGTTCAGTGGAATAATGTGAAACTGTGTGTTCAAGAACTCAAAGTTACTCAAATGGAGGCTCACTCAATGCACTGTTTTACTTTTAGATGCTACTTTAATTTTTATTGTCTACTAACTATTAACTAACCCAAATTGAATGTGTGTTTCACTCTTACTAAATCTGAATATTTGTTGAAAGAGCACACACGTAAGTCCTCTGATTTTGAGGTCACTACAGGCGCTGCAGCGTAAGCTTAGTTCTCACTGCCAGGAGACATAAAATCAATTTTTCATTGTCTCTTGAAGGACGTTTTTCCTCTCCGATGCTGTGGATAGATTATTACAGATGACCTGCCTGTCTTTTCATGGCGCCATGATTTTATTCATTTTTTAAATAAATCAAGGGCAGAGTCGTGTCCTCGCTCGCAGTTACTGTGTCGAGGTCACTCGTGGCCTTGATGATTGAAACTTTATGCTCCATTAAACGTTAGTATTTAAAACCAGGTGCAGATATGCTTTGGTGAAAATGTTATGTGAGGCACTTAACAGACTCTGGAGGATATAACTCTACTGTATGTTTTCCCATAGCTGACCTAGGACTCATTGAAATGGATCAATTGTGTTTTCATACTGGGAGGCATTAAGTGCTGAGACAGAGCTTGTTTCTGTAATTCATTCTTTTATTTTTATGAATCATTTCCTTAAGATTCTTACAATCATAAGTTGTGTGACCACCACCACCTACTGTAAATGTATGGTCCTGTAGAAACAAACATTTTTAAATCTGATCTCAGCAAGTTATAATACTCAGGTCTCGTAATGTAAAAAATGATTGTTAGCATTTTCAAAATTAAAGCTTTGCATTGTATGTAAGTCATTATATGTAAGTCTCCCAAATTGTTGTTTTTCTTCTTGTTCCTACAGTTGGATGTTTGATCTTCACTGTGCAGAATGATGTGTGCTCTGAGTTTGACACTAAA